TCCCTCTACTGCTCCTCAGCGTGTCCCTCTACCGTCTCCTCCTTCGTCCTCTTTGCCTGACGTTCCGGACCCTGAGTCTGACCGGTATCGTGCTGAGCACCCTACTGTCACGCGTCTCCTAGCTACTATTGTCACTGACCCTACCTTTGAGTCCTCCGCTGCGTCTGCTCTGGTCGCTGAGTTGGTTGACTTTGCTGCTGCCTGTCGTCTAGACTACGCTGCTAGCCTTGTTGCTGAGTCTGAGTCTGAGTCTGTCTGTCCTCCGTCCGTCGGGGGTGAGTGTGCTCTTGGCACGGACGTCCTTGAGGACAGACAGGAGGAGTTCCAGTGTCTTGCTGCTGCTTTGCCCCGTCTCGTGTCCCTGCTAGTTGCCCCTGAGGGAGACCCGGATGCACCAGACATCCCGACCCCGCGCACTTACGCTGAGGCGATGGCGGGTCCCTACTCCTCTCAGTGGCAGACAGCCATGGACGCCGAGATGGCTTCCTGGAAGTCCACACGCACCTACGTCGACGAGGTTCCCCCACCTGGGGCGAACATCGTCAGTGGCATGTGGATTTTCAGGGTGAAGCGGCCACCGGGTTCTCCGCCTGTCTTCAAGGCGCGTTACGTGGCTCGAGGCTTCAGTCAGCGAGAGGGAGTTGACTTCTTCCAGACCTTCTCCCCCACCCCGAAGATGACCACTCTTCGGGTGCTGCTGCACATAGCCGCTCACCGCGACTACGAGCTTCACTCACTTGACTTCAGCACTGCTTTCTTGCAGGGCAGCCTGCACGAGGAGATCTGGCTGCGCCGCCCACCTGGCTTCACTGGGTCGTTTCCTTCTGGTACCCAGTGGAGGCTTCAGCGGCCGGTCTACGGTCTCCGCCAGGCTCCGCGTGAGTGGCACGACACACTGAGGACTACACTTGCGGCTCTTGGGTTCGCGCCTTCTACAGCTGACCCGTCGCTGTTCCTGCGCACCGACACTTCGCTGCCGCCGTTCTACATCCTCGTGTACGTCGACGACTTGGTCTTTGCTACTGCTGACACTGCAGGACTCGCCTACGTGAAGTCGGAGCTGCAGAGGAGACACACGTGCACAGACCTGGGTGAGCTGACAAGCTATCTTGGCTTGCGGATCACCCGGGACAGAGCACGGCGCACCATCACCCTGACTCAGTCACACATGGTGCAGCAGGTTCTCCAGCGCTTCCGCTTCACGTACTCCTCGCCTCAGTCCACTCCTCTGCCTACCGGTCACTCGCTCTCAGCTCTGCCTTCGGATGAGTCCGTAGAGCCGAGTGGCCCGTATCCAGAGCTTGTGGGCTGCCTCATGTACCTGATGACCTGCACTCGACCTGACCTTGCATACCCTCTTAGCATCCTTGCACGCTATGTCGCTCCTGGCCGTCACAGGAAGGAGCACATGGATGCCGCTAAGAGGGTGTTGCGCTACTTGTGCAGTACGTCGGGCATGGGGCTTGTGCTTGGAGGGCGAGACCGAGTTGTTCTCACAGGGCACTCAGACGCTTCTTGGGCAGACGACCAGGCCACTCAGCGGTCGTCTCAGGGTTACACCTTCAGCCTTGGCTCTGGCTCAGTTTCTTGGCGCTCTACACGCTCTTCTTCTGTTCTCGGCTCCAGTTGCGAGGCTGAGATCTACGCTACAGCCATGGCTGCCCAGGAGCTACGCTGGCTGACCTACCTGCTGACCGACCTCGGAGAGCCGCCTCGTTCTCCTCCAGTACTGTACGTCGACAACAAGGCTGCCATTGCCTTGTGTGAGGAGCACAGACTGGAGCACAGAACGAAGCACATCGCCCTGCGGTACTTCCTTGCTCGAGAGCTACAGCAGCGCGGTCAGCTTTGTATTCGCTACGTGGCCACTGAGGCCAACACTGCTGATGTGTTCACCAAGGCACTTCAGCCTCGTGACCATCAGCGCCTCTGCACTCTACTAGGCCTTGTGCCTACTGGACCTCACTTGCTTACCTCTTGACCTTGCTTGTACTGTGATCACTATATATGCTTATACCTGCTTGTTTACTCTTGCTAGGTTGTGATCACTGTATTTCTTGCTTTGTTATAAACCTGCATGTGAACTAGTCTTGTGACCACTTGCTTGTGCTCGGAATTTGTGTGGAATCCTCGAGATCCACCACTTGCTTTGCCCTGACTGGTCTTGTGACCCCTAGGTCTCTCCCACTTCGCCTATGGGGGTGTGTCAAACATTATACATGTTATATCTGTGTAGGCTATAGTGGGTTAGCCTATAGGAGGGTCACCATTCTAGGGTTGCATATTTGTACCAAACTCACTGCTAGTTGCCTCATTCCAGTCCGTTTATTCTGACATGCATATCTACCCACATCTACATTCTACAGTATTAACAACACCTGCCAGACACCAGAAGTAAACGCATAGACGCAAGAGTGTGTCAGAATGTTATTATTGTCTAGCCTGTAGTGGGGTGCTCTATAGCGAGTACAACCCAGTTAGGGTTTGCTATATGTACCCCAACTGCTGCTAGTGAAACCCCTCTCCTTTCAATGCACCATTCTTGCCTAGTTCTCTTAACATGCTATCAGAGCAGGTCGACCCCCTTGGGTCGATCCTGTGGGTGGGCCCGCCACCTAACTGCTTCCGCTGCTATTCTGCTTCTCGCACGCCTCGGGCGCGCGCCGTCTTCTTCCTGCCGTTTCCTGCCCGTCGTGGCGCCCCCGGGGACCTGCGCGCTGCCCCCCGTCGTCCTCCTCCCGTCGCCTCGTCGCGGCGCCCTGGGGGCCCGCGCGTCCCCCCCCTCCCGTCGCCTCGTCGCGGCACCTTGGGGGCCCGCGCGCCGCCCCCTCCCGTCGCCTCGTCGCGGCGCCTAGGGGGCCCGCGCGCGGCCCCTCCCGTCGCCCGTCGAGCCGCCCTCGGGGGCCCGTGCGCGGCCCCCCTCCCGTCACCCGCCGTGGCGCCCTCGGGGGGCCCGCGCCCTGCTTCTTCGTGGCGCCCAAGAGCCACCCCGCTGCCTCCCTTTCCCTCCGTGCCCCGCCCCTGCTGTTTCCCGCGCTCCTGCCTGCGTTAGGGTTTGGGGGTGGCGGGCATGGGGGTGACCGGTGTGGGTAACCTGCGGCTCCTCCTCCTCCTCCGTCTCCCACTGCTGCAGCTGCCGCTGAGGGGGGTGGGTGTGTGGGAGCCGAGGGTTTAGGGTTTAAGGGGGGTGCCGTGGAAGTGGAGCTAGGGTGTCAGCAGGGGGTGTGTGAGAGGGGCGTGGGACGGTCGGGGGAGGTTGCGTGGAGGTAGCCGTCGTGACGCCAGCAGCGCCAGTAGTCCGGATGCCCTCGCGCGTTTCGGTAGCCCAGCGAGCCTGCTTCGCCAGTCGCCTGTGGGTCCGTTGCTCCTGTGTGTGCTCGTCGTAGCCGCGGAGCCAGATACTCCCGTAGTCCGGTGCCCTCGTGCGCTCGGTAGCCACTGTGCGCGCCGCTCCTGTTGCCCGTGTGTCTGCAGCTTCAGTCGGCGCCTTTCATCTTCTCGCCCTCACAGTTTCTCCTCCTCCTCACTTGCCCTCTATGATCACCTCTAGCTTTGCTTATAATTGTGAACTATTGCTATGCCTGCTCATTGTACTGATTACACCCCACTTTGGCTATGGGGGTGTGTCAGAATGTTATTATTGTCTAGCCTGTAGTGGGGTGCTCTATAGCGAGTACAACCCAGTTAGGGTTTGCTATATGTACCCCAACTGCTGCTAGTGAAACCCCTCTCCTTTCAATCATCCTTGCCTAGTTCTGTTAATAGAGTGAAGAACTGCAACTAAGTGCAACCAGAAACAAACAAAAAAGTCTCTGTATATGTCATTGTGCTGAAGAAACCGTCACAACCAAGCCGAAAATGCTCAATGTTTGTCCGCCAGATAAGTAAAGAAACTTCTGCACGCATACAATAGCTGTGGAAAAGACGCAAACATATGAAGTCAGGCTGGGAAGGAAAATTTGAATGTAAAGGCCATGTTAAGTTAACTGAAAAAAATATAAAAGGACACGGCCACCCAATATCGAAAATTGCTGAATTTTTTGCAGCCTTTCGTCGCCTTATGCAACCCTCGCTTGTATTTCAGATGATTTTTAGAGCCTATAAACGGGTTGGCGACCCGATACGTGTGGGCAAATGATGGGGAATAAGCGGTGTCGCGGTCCCACCACCGAATGAAATTGTGTCCCTCACCTTTGAAAGTCGGCGCGGCGAACGCAGTCGACTCGTGAGACCGAGGGGCATGTGAGCAGGAACAGAGCGACGAGCTGAAGGGATGAAGGCTCCATCGCCGCGACTGCATCCGATATCTCCAACGTGTTCAAGCAAGTCACTTGTCGTAGTAGTATTGAAGACATTTGTCACGATTTCAAACGTCGATAATGGAACACACAGCAGGAGAAACAGGAAGTTATGATATCCTTTAGAAAAAATATATTGCGACTGATACGATGACTGGGATTACGTGGAGTCCAAGGAGAGGTCTATTTTAGAATGATAATTAGGGTGAGCAGGAATCTAGGCAAGGAGTTTTCAACAAAAGATGAGTGGAGGTTTGGGAGGATCTAGTAGCAAATCCCTTTGGCAGTATCTTCCCTCTAGGAAAACACCTCCTGCTGGCGAGGGAACTTTTGATATCGTCGATTCATCGTGTTGCAAATTCGACGCGAAACGAGCCTACGTGTTGCGATTTTGTAACTAGTGAAGCACTACCACCCACGTTCACGACAAGCTATCGCGCAAATGAGGCTCGGGTGACAACAAGACACACGCAATAAAGAAAGCGGGCCGAGCGAGAAAAGCGACGAGATTTGTTCATTGGTATAGATGCGATGTTGTCTCTGTTGACAGAGGGGTGCAATGCACAAAAGAATCATAATATTTTTTTACACCATAGGTGTCCCAATATTAGCTAGGGTTTGAACAAGTAATGACATGACATTATACTACAGTGAACACGATGCACCGAAAACACACTAGTGTTCCATATCCCCATATTGCCACTAATCCATCCGGCCTTTGAGTGTGCGAGTAATAATCTTGTCAAGAGTGCTGCACGTAAAGGAAGAAATCCCAGGTCAGAGGGGTCAGAAACATGAAGATTGAAGAGAACGTGCAGGTGATTGTTTTGATATCAAAGCGGAACAGAAACATCCATGCACTGTGGTTCTCACATAGCACCCATCCACTCACATCACACCCATCTCATGCACTCACATGACATCGACAGTAGCCCCCCATCCGCTAAGAGCATCCTTATCCACAGCGGCCAGCAGCGCCTGCGAGATGATTTCAAACAGCTCCTCCGGCTGCAACCCTTACACGACCCGCCAACTGCCCTCCCATCCCATCCACTCACATAACCACCATGCACTCACATGACATGCACGGTGGCACCCCATCCACTGAGCGCGTCCCTGTCCACAGCGGCCAGCAGCGCCTGCGAGATGGTTTCAAACAACTCCTCCGGCTGCAGCCCCGGCTGCCAGTACGACTCGCACGCGCCGAACAGCGACTCGTCTGCCGTCCCTGCTACACCGAACTCAGGGCACTCCTCGCTGCGGGGTGGAGGGTGAAGGATGGGTGGGCGGGGAGGGCGAAGGGTAAGTCAGAGTTGGTCTGACATGCCCTTCCATCCCGGCTGCCAGTACGATTCACACGCTCCAAACAATGACTCGTCCCCTGTCCCCGTCACTCCAAACTCGGGACATTCTTCACTGCAGGGTGAGGCGGAATAGGGGGTAGTGGAAAGAGGGGAAACCTTGATGGGGGAAGAGAGGGAATAGGGGTGGTGGGGTGGTGGGGGGAGAGAGGGAATAGGGGTAGTGGAAGGGCGGAAAATCTTGATGGTTTCAAACAGCTCCTCCGGCTGCAGCCCCGGCTGCCAGTACGACTCGCACGCTCCGAACAGCGACTCGTCTGCCGTCCCTGCTACACCGAACTCAGGGCACTCCTCGCTGCAAGATGGGAAGCGGGGAGAAGGCTGACTTGTGAGTGGTCTGAGTCAGCGTGAGTGGGTCTGACAAGACAGGACATTGTAGCCCCGGCTGCCAGTACGACTCGCACGTGCCGAACAGCGACTCGTCCACCGTCCCTGGGCAGGGAGGGTGAAGGGGCAGAATTAAATTGGGTGAGTTGTAAGTCAGAGTTGGTTTGAAAGGACCTTCCAGGCTCCAGCCCCACTGCCAGCGCGACTTGCACGCCCCAGCAGCACTCACAGTGCACCGATAAGGTAAGTGGCACAGATGACAAGGAGATGGAAAAGCGGACAGAAGAAGCAGGGAACTCACGAAAAGGAGAGACAGACAGCAGCGACACTCACTAGGCGCCGATAAGGTCAGTGGCGCAGATGAAGGGAGTGCCATCATCCTCCAAGCCTGCAATCACAGGCTCGATGAAGTACGGCCCGAACCTGATGACCAGGTGTGGGTGAGGTGAGAAAATAGGGGACAAGAATGGGAGAGAGAAACGTTAGGGAGAGGCAAGTGTAAGAGAGAGTTCATTACTCGTGACCTCACACTCTCGCTCATGGCGGGGAGTTCATTCAAGTAATTTGACGCTGCCTCACACTCAGAAGCATCATTCAGGTAAACTTAAAAAGCTCGTTTCAACAGATGAGCTTAAATCATCATGACTTCTCCTGTTTTAAGCGGAGGCTTGAAAAAACTAAATTGTACGCATGCTGTGCTACTGCTGCACAAGTGTGTTGTGCTACTTCCTGAATGGAAAGGAGGAGCAGGCTGCATACGGCCCGACTCAAACGCACACAACCCGTTTGAGTCGGGCAGTACGCAACCTCCTCCTTTCCATCCAGAAAGTACACAACACACTCGATTCCAAACAGTTGCACGTTATCTACTGTGACCACAGCTGTACAGATGCTTGAAACAACAATGACACACACACTAACGCGGAGGCAACAACAACACTGGCAGCACCTGAACTCGTAGAGGATGGAGCTGATGAGGTGGGCGAAGGTGTCCATGCGTGGCAGCTCACTTATGAACATCTGATAGTTATACGTGTAGGTTAGTGTGTCCTTATAAAGAGGATGAACCTGGTCGGGTCTAACCTGCGCTCGTAGAGGATGGAGCTGACGAGGTGGGCAAAGGTGGCGGGCGGCATGACCCTGTCCTCCCTCAGCGCGAACAGCTTGTGCCGAAACTCCAGCCGCTGCTTGCTGTGACGGGGTGGGGGGATAAGGGGGGAGGCGGAGAGGGGCAAGAGGAAGTGCAGAAGAGAGCTGAAACGAGAGAAGAGCCTGTGGAGGAAATCCAGGCGCTGCTTGCTGCGATGGTCGGGCAGAGGGTAGGGGGTGGGAGGGTGAGGGGTGTGGGGGGGCCGACGGGCAAGAGGGGAAGGAAGGGTGAAACTGAGGATGTGAAAATCAGATGTTGCGGAACTGTAGGCGCGTGTTCTGCAGGCGACGTGGGAGAATCATTGACGGGAAGAAGGGAGGCAGGAAGTGGGGTGGGGTGGGGTGGGGTGGGGTGGGGTGGGGTGGGGTGGGGTGGGGTGGGGTGGGGTGGTGAGGGAGGGGCAATAGGAAATGCAGAAGAACAAGGGAGGAAAACGATTGGCGAGCACACAAGGCTGTACAAGAAATCGAACTGGCACATGTGTTAAGGACTTAACTAGAGATCACAAGCCATTCCTCCCACCTCATCCTGCATTCGCTCACACTGCCCATATCCCGTCCCCCCCATCACCCATCTCCACCTGCGCATATGCGCCCTGCACCGCACACTGGTGTGGGTTGCACCACGTTACCCATCAGCATGGCCCCATCAGCAAGTCCCGAGGTACCGTCGGCCGATTTTGCCAATGAGGAGTCTTGGAGTGTCTAAAACTCATCCCCGCACCTCGTCCCTCACCCTCCCGGCGTGCCACTCACAGCGTCTGCGCCCCCAACTCCGTCTCCCATCATGCCACCCCGCATCCCCCATCCCCCTTCCGCGCCTCCCACCCTTCCTGAGCGCCGCTCACAGCGTCTGCACGTCACGTCGGTGCCCAGACCAGCGGGGCCAACGAAGAGAGGGGGGTTCATCTGAAAGGCGCGGTTGAAACCCGTCGCCACGGTCTGCAGATGAACTCAAACTCCCCAAGCTGCACCGCACTCTCACTGTGCATGTCCTTCCCCCACGTTCACCATCCCCACCTGCCATCCCCACCTGCCATCCACCTGCCATCCCCACCTCCCATCCGCACCTGCCATCAGCAAGTCCCCCTGCGCATCTCACATACCCCATCCGACCTCTCTTCGCCCATCCGCACCTGCCACCAGACCCATGCACAACACTCACAGCGTCTGCACGTCCGTGCCCAGCCCAGCGAACCCAGGAAGAGGCGCGGGTGCATCTGAAAGACGCGGTTGAAGTCCGTCGCCAGGGCTGCACTCACACTGCCCATGGCCCTCCCAATACTCCACGTTACCCACCCGCACCGCACCTGCGACGCGGCACTCACAGTCTTTGCACATCCGTGCCCAGGCCAGCGAGACCCAGGAAGACCCTGGAAGACCCTGGAAGACGCGGTTGAAGTCCGTCGCCAGGGCCTGCAGCTGCACGACGAAGCGGATCAACCACCCCCCCCCCCCCTTCCCTCCCCCCAAATCCCCCGCTCTCGTCCCTCCTACGCGCCACTCACAGTGTTTGCACGTCGGTGCCGAGCCCCGCCAGCCCCAGGAAGAGGCGCGGGTGCATCTGAAAGACGCGGTTGAAGTCCGTCCATACCTCATCCCCTCTCCCATCGGACCACCACCCCATGCGGCACTCACAGCGTCTGCACGTCCGTGCCCAGGCCAGCGAGGCCTAGAAAGAGGCGCGGGTGCATCTGAAAGACGCGGTTGAAGTCCGTCGCCAGGGTCTGCAGCTGCACGCCGAAGCGCCGGTCGCACGCGATCGCCACGCACTTGTCGCCCTTCATCGCCACCACCGCGCCGCCGTTGTACGACGTGATCTGACGACGGGGGGTGTGGGTGCGAGGGTGCGAGGGCGGGGGGTGAAAAGGGTGCGGACTCGGGGGGTTGTGAGGGGGTTGCGACTTGTCGCCCTTCGTCGCCACCACCGCGCCGCCGTTGTACGACGTGATCTGACGACAAGGGATGCGACGGCGGGTGTTGACAGGGGTGAAGAGAAAAAGAGGGGTGGGTGTGGGGCGGGCGGAGGAGGGGGAGGGTGAGAGTGGGGAAGAAGGGAAGGAGGTTGTGAGGGAGATGCGGAGACAGCGGCAGGGTGTGGGCGGGGAACGACGCAAGGGGGTGACAAGGGGGCGCCGACGGGGAATTGTGAAGAGGCTGCGGAGTGGGGAGGTTGGGAAGACGTGATTTCAGGGGGAACGCGGAAAGAGGAGGAAAGTTGGGACGCCAGGTCTACGCAAAACGAAGGCCGCCTCTGATTGGACGTGGAGACCAAGATCTACGGCTCTGATGGCGACTTCTTATTGCGCTAAATTTCGACAGGCGGTCGAAATCTGGGAATCGCAGCGAGTATGAGATAGGCCGGGCAGCAGCGCACCAATCCCCGCCGTTGATGAGATTTATTGGGCGGTGAGAGATTCACTTGGAAAGCTCGGTTTCCAGGAATCGGGAAGAAGAGTATCACTCACCGACATGGCGAATAGATGTTTCTGCTTATAGCGCGAACAGGCAAGTTGTGCTTTCAGCTTACGACGCAACCAGGCGAATTGACTTATTGTAGCGCGCAACTAAGCGAATCAAACTTTAAGCCAAGCACTGCGGGACGGGATTCCTAGATCGACGGCGGAGCGCGAAACTAAGTAGCAGCCAACTTCGGCGGGGAAAGCAACAGCTTAGAATCTGATCGGCCTAACGCTGACGACTAAAAAGGGGAACGGGAATGCTGGCTGGAGAGATCCGAGTGCTTTTATTGCGTGACCCGTTTGGCAGCGTTGTGGAATTCCAGTGAGCAGTACAACTTCAAGTGTATATTCAAGAGAATGTGGAGTACTCAATGGTGCGCGATATAATGCGTTAGACCTCAACTACCATAGGAAGCACATAGCATATACAGTAGACGCACCGAAGACAGCCACATCATAACCCACCAAACATGAAACTTGTACAAGACAATGTTGCACAGTGGCACATGATAACATGTGTATGTGTGGCATGCCATTTCCGCTGCAACCACTAATGCACTTCGCAACCTTGTCAGTGTAGTGTTGGAAACTTGGAAGGGGGAAATCGGCCAAAAATGGAAGACAGGGAAGATGTCGCAGCAAAGCCATACGTGTGAGGGTAGTGAGAGGTGAGCCCTTGCAACCACCGCTTCACACCCTTCGCTCCACCATGCCTCACCACGCTCCAATGACCCCATTCCCCCCATCCCCCCATCTTCCCATGCCCTCATCCCCATCGGCTGGACCGTTGCCGCCCTCCCTCCTCCCTCCCCCTGCTCCTCTCCTCTCTCTCCCCATATCGCCCCCTCTCCCTCTCCCTCTCCCTATCTCTCTCCCTGTCCCTGTCCCTATCTCTGTCCCTATCCCTATCCCTGTCCCTATCCCTGTCCCTATCCCTACTCCCATCCCGATCGCTCTCTCTGTATCTCTCTCGATCCCTGTCACGGTACCGATCCCCCTCTTTCTCTCTATATCTCTCCCTCTCCCTTTCTCTATCCCTCTCCCTCTCCCTCTCCCTATCTCTGTCGCTCTCTCTGTCTCTCTCTCTATCCCTGTCCCACCCTCTCTCCTGACCACCCCCTGCCTCCCTATAACCATCAACCCCACCTGCACTCGCACCCATGCCTGCAATCATCCCTGTCACCCCCCCTCCCATTGCCATCCCTCCCGCTGCTGCCCCTCCTACCCCTCCTCCCCCACCCACTCCCCCCGGAGCCTGCAGGCCCAGACTGGCAGCGATGGCAGCAGCCTTGGCTGCAGCGGCAGCAATCGCAGCCGCCACCACGTCTGCCCCCATGCTACCGCCACTGCTGACACCACCGGCAGCAGCATCAGCAGCACCGCTCGCCCCCCAAGCTGGAGCTGTGACTGCTGCTTGCGGTGCCGCAAAGCCAGCAGCAGCAGGGGTAGCAGCAGAGGGCGGAGGGGGAAAGGCAGCAGGAGCAGAGGGAGGAGGCGGAGGGGGAGGAGGGAGGTCGGGGACAGGGTCGTGGGGGTGGGGAGCGGAGGCGGCGACAAAGGAGGACTTGAACTTGGCCATCATGCCCACCCGCAGTGCATCCACTGCCCCTGCTCGCGTGCCCACCCCGCTGCCCCCGCTGCTGCCCCTGCCACTGCCACCAACAGCACCGCTACCACCAACACCACCACCGCCACCGCCACCAGCAGCAACGGCAGCAGCACCATCAACACCCAGCGATCCCCCAGACACAAACGCATTTGCCCCACCTCCTCGTCCGCCCCCTTTCGCCCCCACGCCTCTCCCCCCTCCCAATCCCCCTCCCCCTCCCCCTCCCCCCCCCCCCTCCCCCGCCTCCTCCTCCCCCCTCCTGGAAGCCCAGGCCCATGCCATAGTCTACCCCCCGTGCCCCTCCCCCCTCCGCCCTTGCCCTTCCCCCCCTTGCCCTTGCGGAAACCTGTGGAGGTGGAGAGGCAAGGGTGGCGGGTGAAGGGGGAAGAGGGAGAAGTGGTGCAGGGAGAAAGCAAGTTAAGGGCGTGAGGCAGGCAAGGGATGCATTACACCTTGTAAGGGATGCAGAACTCTGCATGAAGGTGGGGTGCAGTCCAGGGGAACGGCAAGAAGAAGTAGGTAAGTTGCGAGGCAGCAGGGGGCCATAAGCGGTGCTTCGGAGGGCAAGCCAGTGCAACGGGTGCAAAATAGAGGCAAAAAATGCAATAAATTTGGGGTGTGGGGGGGTGGTGGTGTGTGGAATGAACAATGTGGGAGGAAGGGGTAAACGGCAAGAGATGGTGGAGAGACAAGTAAGGAGCAGAGTGACTCACCTCCTCTCCCCTCCCTCTGAGCTCTGAACCGCGAATCCTGCGAAGGTGGGGAGCAGAGCAGCACAGCAAACCAAAAGGGGAAATGTTAGGCAACTGAGAGAAAGGATTGACTTCTAAGCAAGTCACGGGAGAAGTCAACGAGGAGACGAGAAGGCCACGGGGAGACGAGGAAGCAGAGAGAGGACCCAGACGCACATTCGCCCCCAACACCCCCTCATTGCTCTCCCCATTGCTCTCACCTTCATTGCCAGCTCCAGCAGTTCAGGAGGCACCTCCTGGCCGCCAGCCACCAAGCACCCCACCAGCTCACCCCCTCACACTCACCACCAGCACCCACCGCCCCCACCCGCCCTCCCCCCCTCCCCCCCCCCCCTCCCCCCCCCTCACCTTCATCGCCAGCTCCAGCAGTTCAGGAGGCACCTCCTGCCCGCCAGCCACGAGGCACCCCACCAGCTCCCCCGCAAACCGCGCCTCTTTCCCCGTCACAACCGACACCGCCACTCCATCCGTATCAATACCTGGCCCTGCCTGTGCGCCCCACCCCATTAGCTCGGCCCCCACTTCCCCCCCTCAACTTTCCCCCTCACCTTCCCCCCCTCACCTTCATCGCCAGCTCTAGTAGTTCAGGAGGCACCTCCTGTCCGCCAGCCACCAAGCATCCCACCAGCTCGCCTGCAAACCGCGCCTCCTTCCCCGTCACCACCGAAATCGCCACTCCGTCCGTATCCCCCGCCCTGCCCGTCCTCCCCACCCTATGCACATGCGCGTCCATGTCCCTCGCACTGTCCAAATTAATAACCGTCTTAATCGACCGGATGTCTAATCCCCTGGCTGCTACATCAGTGGCAACCACCACGTGCAGCTCGCCCTTCTTCAGCTGCCGCACCACCTCGCTGCGCCGCGATTGGTCCAAATCCCCGTGCAGCGCGCCGACCTTGAACCCCGCGCCCGCCACCGCCGCAGTTACCGCGTCCACTCGCAACTTCGTCCCGGCGAACACAAGCACATCGCCCTCATCCACCCTCGCCCCCAGCTCCCCCAGCAACCAGGCCACCTTCCCGTCGTCCCCTGCGGTTCCCCCACCCGTTCCCCCACCGGGTCCCCCCCCGACTCCCCCTGGCTCCGGTAAAACCACCACGCGCTGCCGCACGTCGGCGTTGGCGGCGCCAACCTCCCCCACGGTGATGCGCACGGGGTGCGTGAGGATGTCGCGCGCCAGGCGCTCGATGCGGCGCGGCATGGTGGCGGAGAAAAGGAGCGTCTGACGGTCGGGACGGATCTGCCCCACGATGGCTCGCACCTGCGGGGGGGAAGGGTCAATAAAGGGGTGTAGAACACGAGGTCAGCCAAGGGCAGTGAAGGGCAGTCAAGGGCAGGTGGAAGGCATGGTGGCGGAGAAGAGCAGGGTGTGGCGGTCGGGACGGATCTGCCCCACGATGGCTCGCACCTGCGGGATGACCAGGTCGAGTCGAGGCAAAAGAGGAGGGTGGAACAGCATGTCAACAGTGTTCAGTCGTGGTTCTCAGACAGCGGCACAGCAGTCATACAGTGAGGCATAAGCGAAAGTACAAGAGTGGGTTACGATACCTGAGGCCATGGCAAAAGTACAGCAGTCAGAAAGCACTCAACAAGCTCTCACTTGCGGCTCGGAGCCAAGATGGAACATCATATCAGCCTCATCCAGCACCAGGAACGTGCAACGAGGCTGACGCGATAGGAAATCATACATGCAGCTCAAACGCTCACCTGCGGTTCGAAGCCCAGGTGGAACATCATGTCAGCCTCGTCCAGCACAAGAAAGGTGCAGCGTCGCAGCGACAGCGCCTTCATCTTCAGCATGTCGATTAATCTCCCCGGCGTCGCCACCACCACCTCTACTCCGCCTTTGAGCTCCTTGAACTGGTCGAATTTCGACATGCCGCCAAACACGCCCGCCACGCGGAGGTTTAGGGGTTTCGCGAACCGCCGCGCCTCCGCGTGGATCTGCGCCGCCAGCTCGCGCGTCGGCGCGCAGATCAGCGCGATGGGGCCCTCCCCGCGCCCCGCGCGCGGCTGGTCCGCGACGTGGACGAGCAGCGGGAGGACGAACGCGGCGGTTTTTCCCGAGCCGGTTTTCGCGACGCCAATGACGTCACGGCCGCTGAGGATGACGGGCAGCGCGGCGGACTGGATGGGCGTAGGCGCGGAGTAGCCGTGCTTGCGCACTGCGCCCATCAGCGCGGGGGGGAGCGCGGCGTGCGCGAACGCGCTGATTGGGCGCGGCACGTCGAAGCCCGACGTGCGGATCGAGAGCGACGCGAGCCGCGCCGCCACGTCGGCTGCTGACATGGCGGTGACGTCAGGATGCTCCTGGTAGAAATCCTTATCGAACTCGTCGTATTCTATCGCGGAGTGGTCCACGTGGCCTAGCGCGTCCATCTTGCTCTTTAACGACGTTACCGAGTCAGCTACTATCGGGTTATCGTCCGAGTCGTACTCTAAGGCGGACCCAGCCGCGCCGCCCGCGGCTCCTGCGGCGGCGGCGGCGGCGGCGGCGGCAGCGGCGTCGACGGCCTTGGCGGCGGCGTAGACCTCCTCGTCCGAGTCGTACCCGCGCCCCATCACCGCTTCCGCCGCCACCGACAGCCCCGCGCTCTTGCGAGCGCGGAGGAACGAGTCGAGCAAATCCGCCTCCTCCTCCTCCGCGCGCCAGTCCTCCCGCTCCGGCTTTGCCGCTTCCCCCGCTTCCCCGCCCTTCGCGCCCGCCGCCGCCGCGCGCGAAGTTGCGGCGACCGCGTCCTCCTTCACCTTCCGCTCGATGCCCGACATGAACGCGTCGAGCGGATCCTCCTCCTCCTCTTCCGCCGCCGCCGCCGCGCGTCGGTTTCCCTCGTCCTCGTCATCTTCGCCGTACCCCGTGGCCGTCGTGGCGGCCTCCCCATCCCCGTCATCGCGGTATTCGATATCCGCTATATCGTCGTCGTCGTCGTCCGGCAGCGACCGGCGACCCGAGCCGCCGCGGTAGCCGGCGTAGCTCCCGCCGCCGCCGCCGAAGCCGCCGTACGAGCCGACGGGATTCACGGGCGGTGTGTACGCGCTCCCCCCGGAGCGCACGAACCCGAAGCCGCTGCTTCCGCTTCCGCTCCCGCCCGCGCCACGGCCGCGCGAGGCGGAAGGTTCGGTGGAAGCATCTGCGCCAGCGGCGGAGAATTTGCGCTTCCACATGCCCGGGCGAGGAGGGAAGAGGCACAGGCGGCTGCAGACGAAACCCTAGAACACTCTCTTTCGTGCAACCCTGAGGTAATCTCTCCTTCCTGAAACGACCTGAGCACACGAAAGCAGTGAGACTGCTAGCGGCGCGTAACCTACTGGGCTCGGGAGTGGTAGCTATCTATCGCTTCCGAGAAATGGTGCGACTAAAATTCTAGTGGATGTTCTGTAGCACTGCATCGTCTTTGTGGGATCTACGATGATGTTTGCCTAGAGATCGAGCCGAGAACTCGGGCCCCGACGAAGTGCCGAGTGTTGGCAAAGGGCGGCTCCGCTATTGAGTGACAGGCTAGAGCATAAAAGTGAGATAGATGGAGTACAGTTCAACTGCAACTGTTATGGAAAATAATTTGGGCCTCACATGACCCTAAGTGGGATTCTATCACCAACAACACCCACTCCCGAACAGTACACGTGGGAAGCCCATTGGGAGATGGACACGTATGCAACTCCTCCGTCATCGAGATCCAACAACAAATCCCGATCGAGCCGTCTACGAGTCCGAGTCGCAAAAATGGATTGCAGCGGGGGAAGAGCATAAAACACAGCATACCCGTAATTGAAGAGCATCAGGGAAGCTAGATTCGCAAAATCTCCTCGCTTCCGAAGGCGAACTCCGTGATATTTTGAAATTTCAGGTGATGCGCCAAGGACACCCTTCGGGTCTCCGAGTTTTTTTCGTGTCTACTGAGCCTCGATGTCCCTTCAGGTGTTGTTTGGGCTTCAACTCAAGTAGGAAACCAAAGAAACATCAGACTGAGATTTTACAGAACCAGTAGTAACAGTGTGAAATCCTCCGACCTGCTAGTCTAGTTGATGATGACAGCACAAACCACGTGCTTGTACAGAGCAGTATTATCTGTATTTCGCTGCAGGTCGTCTTTTGCTGATGGTTTACTAAGAAAGTCCCAAACACTCATATTCCCCTGGGGATTTTCCTGCCCCCTACCACCACACTTTCTGAAGAATATCCATGCCTCACACTCTACAAGTCATTTTAGCCACAATTATGAACAGGCAAGGGTACTTGTTGGGTTTGGCCCGAACGGACAGGTACATGATAGATTGCGCCTGGGTCTTATTGCGAAAAAATATCGGGAAGGTAGTGCATCTCGAACAGGACCTGTCCGCGAAACCACACTTTTTGAAGCCCAACGGCAGACTTCCCCGCTAGAAACTCAAGAAGTCCTGGTTGGCCGTCTGATAACCCGAGTCGCGGTTGACGGGCAATGGCTCTGGGGTAAGCCACTGGCTGCTAGCACCAGTGAGAGCATTAGTGCTTGCCTCCGGCAAAGCACCATCGCTTCCGGCTCGGAGTCCGCCATTTTTTCCTCCGAGCGATTCGCGCTAGTAGTTTTGGAGCCGTTACTGCTATAATCCCGGAAGAACGGCGACTTTCCTCATGGAGCGTGCAGCCCTCGGCGCGCTTGTAGTGCTGACGTGTCTCGCAGTGTCACGCGTTGACTGCGTTCCCCTCGCCAATTTCCAGGGTATAGTAACATTTTCTGAGAGGATATAACGCCTCGCCATGGGTCAAAACGAGGGCGTTCGTAGCGGAATGCCCTTAAACACAGCCCACAGGTGTTACAGAGGAGACAAGTGTATATATTTCGACGTTGTCTTGACTTGAACGTGACATTGACTCGTCGCTTCTCCTTTTCTCCATCGCCCTTTTGTTGAGCGCGTGCGTGATGCTATCGGTCGAGCCATGATCAGAAGTCGTCCTCCTTTCTTCAAATCCCTGCCTTCTCTTCATGCCGCCAGCTCAAGTCCTGCTGGACTCTCAGAAGGCGTGGAACACAACGATCGATGGCTGGGTGGTTGGTGGGGACTGCAGCAAGGCGAAGAATGTCACGTGCGATGCCAAGGGCATGATAACAGCCATGTGAGTGGACTCATGGGCGACCCGTGGATGGAATAGTAGACCCTCGTGGTCTCACCATGCCCTCCTTTGTCCCTTATGGTCCAATTCTCGTCCAAATGATTCATTCCGATCTTGTTCGAAAGTTTTGTTCGACCCGTATGCTCCCAGCCTGCTGTCATATCGTGCATTATAGGGTCGTCTACCTTCGTTCACTTCCTCCTGTGTCACCCAAATTGTTAAGATCGGAATCACAACGTGCTGCTTGTGTGGATCGCAAAGCCGTGTGTGTGTGTGTGTTGAGAAGCCCTAAACCCTCTGAGGGCTTGCACAATTTCACATTGTTGAGCCTGCACATACAATACGTCATTCGATACTCTTTTACACATGCATGCATGTTCTTTGTCGTCGTCTCATCAGAAACATGGAGAACAACAGCTTCATTGGCTCCATTCCCGACTCCATCAGCAACCTTGCGAATCTCAATACCTTGTGAGTGCCTTTCTTGGGCCTCGTCTCAAGTTCGAGGTATGCACGCATAAAGCTCTGCTCTGCCAACAGACAAGCATGTTTTTAACCCCGGTCTGGCTTGCTAAGAACGAAGCAGACATTCCTTTTCCATGTGTCAAACCTGAACCGGCCCTGCACCGTGTTGGGCCCTTTTGCGAGGATCCAGCCCTGCTCGTGGCCCGAAACGGACCTAGATCCTGCAGGGTGTTTTCGATAACGCCCTAAACCTTCGAGGAAGGGTTTTGGCTCTGCGAATCCTCAGTTTGAGTACTGCAGTTTGCGTGAAATTCTGCAAAGTTTCTTTTGTTCAACAGAAACCCTGCACAGAACGGGGTTTTTGTTCAGCGATCCGCGCGAAATCCATGTGGTTTTTTAACCACCGACCTGCGAGGATTGGCTCATTTCGACTGCCGATCAGTGCAGATCGGGCACCTGGATAGACGACCCGACCCGCGCATCTGACGGGTCAAGCCGAGCTGCCGGCTGGGCCGCTTGCTCTTGCCCGATCTTGATTCTCAACACATGCATGCGTGCGTGCCTGCCTGCCCTTGGCTCGCTGTGATTGTTTCAGGGTCCTGGCATACAGCATGCTGACCGGCAACCTTACTGAGTCCATTGGCAAGCTGCCGAATCTTCTCCACTTGTGAGTACCGTGCTTGCTTGGGCTTTGACTCAGGGTTTAGGGTCTGTTGATTGATGCTTTGAGGACTGTAGGTGCCATCATGAGACCCTAAACACTTAGGACCATTTGGACCCTGCTCTCCAGCCGTCTTCTATTCATTTCATTCCATCCCGCTGTTGCTGTTTTATCCATTACGACCAGAACCACCTGATTCTGCCTCGGATCCCTGACACATGCATCTAAGCATTTGTATCCCTGCCACATGAATGCATGCATGCCATTCGTTGTGGGAACAGGGACCTTTACTCCAACAACTTGACTGGCGTCATTCCCACGTCCATTACCAACCTCGCAAATCTTAATCACTTGTGAGTGCCCATCTTTTTGGGGGAGGCTTTGGTTCACGTTGAATTGGAGCTATTTGTGCCTTGATATTTGCAGGTGATTCCATGAGCAGTGTACTATTGGTGTGTGCTCTGCTCTCCTTCTGTCTCCTATCCGTTCTCTCCAGCTGTTGCTGTATCATGCATTGCCAGAAGGGATCCCTGCGAGCCTGCACCTCTTCCTGTGCGCAGGGATGCGCACTGCACAGGCCCAAGTCAAACTCGGATGAAGCACTTTCCCTTGTTGAATCTTTGACTCAAGCCAAGGTGGTTGTAAACGAACGTAGACGAACGTGTCACAAATGGTTGTGGCTGGTCCTGAGCCGGTACATCTCTTGCCTGTCTCAGCTTGTCGACAGGTTCTGGGCCGCTCATGGCTTGGCTCTTGCGGCTTGTACAGCCGGTTGGCACGGCCTTGGACGAGCCTAACATTGGAGAAGGGTCGGTTGGGCCATCTGTGTGCCCAATTTGGATTCTCAACACATTCATTCATGCATGCATGCCGTCCGTTGTCTTTTCAGAGATCTGGCGAGCAACTTGTTGACTGGCATCGTTCCGGGCTCCATTAGCAACCTCGCAAATCTTACTTACTTGTGAGTGCCATGGCATGCGCCTTGGGGCTTTGCTGTGCTGTGCTATGCTGCAGGTCGGCTTCTGAGGCGCCTCAAAAGGGGCCGTGACATGCCCCTCCGGGCTTTGCTGTGCTGCAGATCAGGCCTGTTTCGGCTTGCCGTTGCCTGCCCAGCTCATGCGCTTGTCATTGCTCGGCTCATGCGCTTGTCATTGCCCGGCTCATGCGCTTGTCATTGCCCGGCTCATGCAGCTTGTTGAGTCGGCTTGGCGCGAATTTAGATAACGAACCAACGAGCCGAGCTGTCGCCTGGGCCACTTGCTCTTGCCTAATCCGGGTTAAAAGCACATGCGTGCATGCCCCTCGGTGTCTTTGCAGCGATCTGAACCACAACAAGTTGATCGGCACCATTCCTGAGTGGATTACCACCCTTGCAAAACTCAATAACTTGTGAGTGACATGCTTGTGGATATTTATCCCAGATTGCAGCTCTTTATGCCCTGAGATTTGCACGTGTTGCCATGAGCTGCCTATTTGCTCTTGGAATGTGCTATACAGCAGTTTCCTCTTACTTCTCTCCTGTTGTTGTTTTGGTATCATTCATTGCCCTCCGTTAGTGGTGCGCGCAATCTGCACTTCATTGCACGCGGTTGTGCACAGGCTCGACTCGACTCGAGTCATCTTTTGAGTCAGCTTGAAAGGCACACGAATGTGCACACAGGCTTAACTCGAGTCAAACTTGGATAAGCCCTCCCCAGCTTACAATCGAGCCAAGCTGGCGAATGGTTATGCCCCTGAGCGACCTGAGCTACAACATGTTGACCAGCATCATTCCCAAGTCCATTGGCGGCCTTGCAAAGCTTACTAAGCTGTGAGTGCCATGTCTGCTTCCGCTTTTTGCGTTACGTCGATTGTAGCTCTTCTTGCTTTGGGATCTGCCAGTCTCGCCTTTGCACATGTCTTCTCGGGTAGCATATCGGTTCAACCCAAACGACTTGAAACGAGCTGAATGTCGTCCCTAAGACAAGGCGAGCGAACGAGCCGAGCTGGTGGCTGGCTGGGCCAAGCTAATCCCAATCCGTAACACATACATGCGTGCCTTTGGTTGTCTTATCAGAAACGTGGCCCACAACATGCTGACCGGCGCCATGCCTGCGTCCATTGGCAACCTTGCAAGTCTTCAGTACTTGTGAGTCCCATTCCTGCTTCGCCTTCGTCCTTTGTTACAGATTGAAGCTCTTCTTGTCTTGAGAACAGCAGATGTTTCCACGAAAGCTGTGTGCTTTGTAATGTGCTTCCCAACTGTTCATTGTCAACTGCTGTTTGTATCATGCATGACCAGAAGTGCTCGCCATCCTACACATCCTTCTGTGCAAAGGGACGTGCTAGGGATGAGCAAAGAACCGAACACCTGTTCGGTTCGCCGAACGGCCATGTTCGTCCAAGGGCGAACGCAAACATGTTCGAGTTCGCCCTTTGCTCATCCCTATGACGTGCACAGGCCTGGGTATAACTCGGATAACCCCTTCCCCTTGTTCGAATCAATCCGAGCTGGCAATGAGCGTAGCTGGAAGTTAGAAAAACGGTCGTGGCTACCTTCGTTTGCGTGCCGTCCCTCCTCTCCTTTTCTCAGGCAGCTTAGTTACAACAGCCTCAATGGCACAATTCCCGAATCCATTGGGAGGCTTTCGAGCCTTACGAACATGTAAGTACTCAATTAATTGTCAGTGCTTCTGGGTCTTTGCACACTTGATGCTATGCAGGTGTAATAAACGCTCACACGCTTGTGTTCGGCCATTCCTCTCCCTGTTTGTCACCCCCGTTGCTCGAAATACAGCTGGCTTCTCCATAACAACCTGAGCGGCTCGATACCAGCGGCCGTGAGCAAACTCCAATCTGTGGCCATCTTGTGAGCTTCTGCAGTACTAGGTTTTGCTGACTTTCTTCTCACTTCTGCATCCACGCTCAGGTGTTTCTTGATGTTTCCTTTGGTTGGATCCAACGTCACTGTAGTGTAGTCGAAGGATGCTATAAGAAAAGGCCGAGTTTAGAGCCATGAAGCAGGGGGTCACTGATAGCCTGTTCAAGGTGTCAATTACAATTTATGTACCAGTGGATGTCGTGCTTGCACTCAAGGCAAGGGCGCGGAAAATATGGGCTTTTCAGTAGTTTTTTTTTTTTCCTCCGGCATCTATCAGGTGTTTGACTAGGCAAGAGCATGAAGCGGACCCTAACAAAGAGTTCAGGGTTTGAGTTTGAAAGTCCAACATCTTAGTGTTTGGGGCAAACAAGTTCATGTTTGTCCTAAATAAGTTCAGTTCGGTTTTCCTTCCCTTTTTCTTTTTGGTTCCGGTGCGGAAGACCAGCTGGGGAGGAGTATTGGGGGTACTAGAGAATTGACATAATTTATCCAGAGAAACATGTTGGGCGCAGCTAGGTTCATATTCCTTAACCAAATTAAACGCATTCGACCCAAATATTCACATCACATGTATGGGGCGAACAACTTAGGGCGAAAAAGAGACCTTGTTCGGTTTGCCTCGAACATGCCCAAACAGGTATTTGATTATTGTTCTCATGCCCAAGGTGCGAAAATTCGGCAAGAGTAAAATACGGTTCGTTTTTTACGCTTTTATTTTACGGTCAGATTTAAAAATCCGGCCATTTTTATTAGAAATTGTGACTTTTCTTTGTCTTTTTGAAAACAGTAGTAACGACTCCACTCATGACCAGGATAGTGAAGAAGCAATACAATGCTTCCTAAGTGTCTAGGGTGCGCTCATTTAACCCTCCTCGTCCTCCTCCCCCTCACACTCTTCATCCTCCTCCTCCCCAAAGTAACTGCTGCTCTCCTTGGTCTTCCTCATGGCTGGTTCATCCAACCGAGGGTCACGGTTGGAAACAATAGTTGAAAATATGTGTACACCAACTGGTTTCAAAATTTCGGCCGGAAAAAACGACGTTTTTTTGCACCAAATTGAAATATAACAGTTTGGCGTTTTTAACCGTTTCAAACGGTTGAAAAAATACGATGGTGTTTTATACGCCAGGATTTAAAAAAAATGGCTGTTTTTTTTCACCTTGCTCATGCCTATGTTTTACGACCGCACTATCTCCACATACCTATACAACTCTTTTGGTTTCTTGCCACATGCACATATGCGCCCTCCATTTGTCTCCCAAAAGCAACTTGGGCTACAACAGCCTGACGGGCTCAATCCCCGACGCCATCTCCACACTTACGAATATTGCTAGCCTGTGAGTGTTTCTTGTTTCCTGGGTTGACATGGGAGGGATAGCTAGTTAGTTGTGACCAAACAATCTCGTGTGTACGTCAGACCCTTCATGCCGGTGGTCAGCTTCTTCAGGAACAAATATTCTGCGACACGCAATCCAACTGATGGACATGTTCGGACTTCGGAAGGACTTGACGTGCGCACCTAGCCGGTGGCATCAGCCGGCGGCTTGGCTCGCCGGTTGCCAAGCCAAGGTGCCTGTCTGGCTTAGGCTCGTGCCAAGCCAAGGTGCCTGTCTGGCTTAGGCTCGTTCCAAGCCAAGGTGCCTGTCTGGCTTAGGCTCGTTCCAAGCCAAGGTGCCTGTCTGGCTTAGGCTCGTTCCAAGCCAAGGTGCCTGTCTGGCTTAGGCTCGTTCCAAGCCAAGGTGCCTGTCTGGCTTAGGCTCGTTCCAAGCCAAGGTGCCTGTCTGGCTTAGGCTCGTTCCAAGCCAAGGTGCCTGTCTGGCTTAGGCTCGTTCCAAGCCAAGGTGCCTGTCTGGCTTAGGCTCGTTCCAAGCCAAGGTGCCTGTCTGGCTTAGGCTCGTTCCAAGCCAAGGTGCCTGTCTGGCTTAGGCTCGTTCCAAGCCAAGGTGCCTGTCTGGCTTAGGCTCGTGCCAAGCCAAGGTGCCTGTCTGGCTTAGGCTCGTTCCAAGCCAAGGTGCCTGTCTGGCTTAGGCTCGTTCCAAGCCAAGGTGCCTGTCTGGCTTAGGCTCGTTCCAAGCCAAGGTGCCTGTCTGGCTTAGGCTCGTTCCAAGCCAAGGTGCCTGTCTGGCTTAGGCTCGTTCCAAGCCAAGGTGCCTGTCTGGCTTAGGCTCGTTCCAAGCCAAGGTGCCTGTCTGGCTTAGGCTCGTTCCAAGCCAAGGTGCCTGTCTGGCTTAGGCTCGTTCCAAGCCAAGGTGCCTGTCTGGCTTAGGCTCGTTCCAAGCCAAGGTGCCTGTCTGGCTTAGGCTCGTGCCAAGCCAAGGTGCCTGTCTGGCTTAGGCTCGTTCCAAGCCAAGGTGCCTGTCTGGCTTAGGCTCGTTCCAAGCCAGGCCGGCTGGCATGTTCCGACTTGAGAACCAATATCTCGTTGACCCCATCTCTTCATTCTTCACTCTGTGTCCCATCCTTGAACCTGCTCACCCCAATCTCCTATCATTAAATTGCAGAACTATCCATGAAAACGACTTGAGTGGACCCATACCAGCAGGACTCGGAAACCTTCTTAAATGTGGAACGCTGTGAGTGACCTGGTTGGCTACAAGAGTTGTGGGCTAATATTTTTTCATGAGCTCAGATCTTCAATCTGTGTTTCCTAGACCCGGCATCAAGGATTAGTGTTTACTCTACTGCTCTTCTTCTAAAAATCTCCTAAACCACATCTCTCCCAGCCTTCATGGCTGACAGACCCTAACTCGGTGGATCATGTTGTGTGGATCGCACAAATCCTGTACTCCTGGGTTCTTCCGCACGTACTCTTTAGCAATCAATCTGTTTGTAGGCAAAGGATTATTGCCGCTCCCAAAGCAGCATCTTTTTGCAAACATTGCTCATCCATCCCACCGCATGCTCTTCTCTCACCGCAATCAGGTTTCTTCATGGCAACAACTTAACCGGTACCATTCCCGACTCCCTTACCAACCTCACAGCCCTCGGTGCCTTAGAGTGCCATCCCTCCTTGGGTTGACATGTGAACCTCACAGCACTGCACAGCACAGCACCGCACATCACAACTTAGCACAGCACAGCACCGCACACCCTGTATGCTCATTCTGAGATTGCAAGGTTGCACTCCTTGTGCTATGTATGTAGGTGCACGTAGGCGCTGGTTTAATCTACGTGTTTGAAAAATAGGCCATCAAATTGGCTGGAGAAAACCATATGTGCTCATTCTGCGATTGCAAGTTTGCACTCCTTGTGCTACGGATGGCCGTCAGACTGCAAATGCTCTTAGGAGTTTGATGTCAGTGCTCTTTCTCCAGTGCGCCAATGCCAAAATGTGCTCCTGTTATTTCACCTTCGCATGTGACATGGATGGATGTCACTAGATGTAAGTAGGTTGAGGGCTTAACTGGCTAATTGAGGGGGGTTATAATGGTCAGCCTGCTGTTGTATTGTACCAAGTGCTGGAGACGCACCAGAAAATGCTGTGAAGCGTTTCTATGCTCACAGCTGCATATTACTGGCTATATGGTTTTGTATTGTAAAAAATAACTAACAGGAAAATGTCGCTTCCTCCCCCGCCCCCCCAGCACCCCCCACCACCCTTCCTCCCCCCCCCAACCCCCCTGGTACCATAGAAAAAAAACAATCGTTTTGTTTTTTCACCAATTATGTTTTTGAAGGTCCATGTTTTTCCACCTTACACAGAAGCCTCACTTGGAGGCGAAGAAGCTGTGTTTCGACCCTTCATCTCTGTTTTGTCTTCTTCCCGTAATATGAGTTGCAGAACCGGATCTAAAAACAAGCTGACTGGCTCAATTCCAGAAACGATCAGCAACCTTCAGAAGCTGGCCACCTTGTGAGTCCCTTCATCCAAGGGCCGTACGATTCTACTCCATTTCTCTGGCTAACATATCAATCTCTGTCCTCAGATGATTTCACCAATCATAGCAATGAACTTGGAGTGGTTGCCCTCTTGTTCACCCATTAACACATGAACGTCTCTCTTCAAGTTGCTTGCTTCTCGTCCTTTGCCACGCCACATGGCTCTTCTCGTCCTTTGCCAGGAACTTCCATGCAAATGAATTGACCGGATCGATCCCATCAACGATCGGACAGCTGAGCAACTTGACACAATTGTGAGTTCACTTGGGACGATGTATACTCACTGGTGCTCTGAGCGTACTTGACCCTACGCTTCTAAAGGGTTGCTCACTCATTTATCTTCTGGTTGAGGGTGAGGGAGGATGGGAATGGGTTGGTCACCTGTGCCTTTGCGCAACATATGTTCACTTGACGTGTGGGCAAGCCTGATTTCCTGGCAGAACATACTTACTCTCGAAGCACTGTGATTGAACTTGCGGAGTGCGCATCACCAGCAGCTGTAACCCAACAACGATCTGCTGGCAGTTTGTTACTAGGTTTTCCTTCATAGCGATGAGAGCTCTACGACAGTGGCAAACAGCAAGAATGCGTATGCCTTTAAAGTTAAGCAGGAGGTATGCTTTTAAAGCTAAACAGGCATGGAGGTATGCCATTAAAGTTTAACAGGCATTTGAGGTATGCCTTAAGACAGGTTTTACCAGTCTCTCATCGTTATTATTTGACAAATTTATGCATGCTGTGTGCTTCCCTCTACATTCGCCCCTTCTTGCATGCGTTCTCCCATCAGAGGCCTTGGTGACAACAGCCTGACTGGACCAATTCCTGACTCCATTTCCCAGCTTTCAAACCTGATTGACCTGTGAGTCCTAGTCATTGTTGGATTCAAGTGAGATACAGCCAGACTCCAAGTGTCTGATCATTGTTGAAAGGAATTACACTTTTGACCTATGTGCAGTGCAGGTCTTACCATCAGCTATGCAGCATTTCTATCCCTGCTTGCACCCCGACGATGAACGAAATGGCTTCTAATGCTGTCTGTGCGCACCGGTGCCTAGTCCCTTCTCGACCTCTGCTGTGTGTATCGACATTAGTTTTCTTATTTCATACATAAGTCGGGCGTTGTCGTTGTTTTCCCTTCCCTTGCTCCTACTTCACCAATTGCAGGCGTCTTGGTGGAAACGACTTGTCCGGATCGATACCTGCTGCAATTGGCGACCTCACGCTTCTGACAGCTCTGTGAGAGTGTTTTCTTCTTTTCTTATATTTCCTTCTTTCAAGGGTATTATTCTGTCATCTCAATCTCTATTCTTGTCAAGGATCAGTGTGAACTAGATGGGGCTTTGGCTAATCGTGAACAGCCGTTACGTTCAAGTTGTTCGCGGTCAGCAGCAATAGATGAGTTTATTTTCGATCGTGATTTTGCCGGAACCAAAGTCCACAAACACCGAGCGTTGATGTTCTTCCAACATGCCACAGATCACTATCTTTGTCAATCAACCTCGAAAAATCTATGTTACTCTTCTTCCCATGTGAATGCAGGAACCTTTCATCAGACTCACTGTCTGGCTCCGTGCCATCGTTTTCGCGTCTCACTAATCTAAACTACTTGTATGTACTTCGTTGCTCCTGAAAGAGTTTTTCTCACATTCAACAATCTCTTGATTTGCTTTGAATGTACACAATGCCTTCGATCTATTTCACCATCAATGCCATGTTATCCTCAATATCTTCAATAACCTTGCTTGTGCATGCTCTTTGCTTTCCTGTGTTGTCCTCTGCGTGTCCCTTCATCAGGGACCTTTCCAACAACGTCCTCACAGGCAGCATCCCAGAGCTTATTAACAACCTCGGCCAGCTTTCTTCCTTGTGAGTGCTCTTCTCATATGAGCGGAAACTCGTTTCCAGCTAGTCGCATTGGCTTTCGAACTAGTCGCGTCTGACTCACAGCCGAAATCATTGCTCATAGGATTTTTTAAGGTTTGTTGACCCGCCATACCAACATACTCGACCAGTTAAGAGATTGCTGTTTTATGAGGGACCGGTATTGGGGAAAATGCACTGAGCAGTGTGGTATGAATAGTGTCTGTAACCCTTTTGGAGGGACCTCTCTTGCAACCGAGTTCCAAGCAATGACCCTCTCGCATGTATGTTGTATTGTACTCCCTTGCATTTGCTCGTGTAGGAATCTGAATGGGAGTGGCCTCACCTGCCCTGCTGACTACTCTCCATGTGTGACGGCGCAGCAGCAGCTCCAAAGCATCCTCTGCCTCCAGTGCTCCTCCTTCTGCTCCACCTGCGGCAAGCCAGCACCTCGTGAGCCGAAACGATTTGCTCAGCCATCCCCTTTCATGCTTTGTATCTGTCCCACAAAAGCTTTCCTTGGAGTCTCACCGTTCAGGCTCACTCCACTCCTCAAGACCCCTTCTCCGTTCAGCTCTGCTGCTGCTTTTCTTGAATCGCAGAGTCTATTTTTAACTTGACACGCAAATGATGTTCTAGCCCGATGTTAAGCTGTTTGACGCCCGCTTTCTCTCCCACCCCATGATTGCAACCGCTGTTGTCACCACCACTTGATGCCCCACTCCCATCGCTGTGTCCCCTCCTCTTCCCCCTCCCCCTCTACTTCCTCCCCTGCAGCACCCCCACCTCCTCCAAAGTCTGCCACCAAGTCTCTTGGCCTGTCAGCAGCAGCAGCCATTGCTGGCATTGCCATGGCTCCTATGGCTTCCCTGCTGCTGCTGATGTGCGCGGTTGTTTGAATCCTGCCCCTCAAATATCGAGTGGATTCTGGAGGAGCTGACAACGGTGGCTGTTGAAGTGGACAATGGAATTGATGAAGCTGGCTGTGCGGTCGAGACAGCACATGCCTTGGTCATGTGATCGTTGAATGAGACCATGATGGAGAAATTCTGTGAGACAGTGTAGGCGTTGGTGCCAACGATGCAGTGCTTGATGACATTTGAAGATACCTTGGCATGCTTTGGACGGGTCGGTGACAAAAGGATAGAATAGCGCGAACTGTTGGCAGCGTTGATTTGTGTTGGTTGAGATTTGAAACACCAGTAACAGCAACCTGGGTTAACGAGACGTGATGAATCTATATTCATATGTTACTGCAACCTGGGTTCATTTCTTTGTTGGTGATACCCCCTTTCCCCACTTTCCCTTGCATCTATATCTTGTACTGATTCTGTTAATGAACCTCTCTTCCCTCTCGTAATCCTCGTTCCTAAGCCTAGCTAATGGCTCCTTGCCCTTGCTCCTACTTTGACATGGTATCGAGATGAGAGCAGGCCGTACCCAGGCATTATTTTATCTTCGCCATGGGGTGGCGGCGCATCGTGGTGTTGGCGCAGCTGCTACTGCTAGTAGCGCGAAATATGCTCCTTTCGCAGAATCTATTGCTGGCTGCCCCGTGCCCGTCCTGTACCCGGCCCATAACAGTCCCATAACTGCCCCGCACCCGTCCCGTCCCATCACTGGAAAAGCAGGTAGAATGAGGGGCAACGAATGGGTAGGTGTGAGGGGACACTGTTGAAGGGTAAGGATGGGACACAAGGTTATGCACCACCAGCCCCTCTTAACCTGAAACTCTTCAAATCTATCAACCTCCACCGCCCATGCACCCGTTTCCCCCTCCTCCACTCCCCTCCCCACAAGCTGACTTCTGTTGGTTTCTCTTCCTGCAACCTCTAGTACGGTACCTGTTCACTGCATACCCATCCAACACTTAGTACTGAGAGCCCCTCACTGCAGCACTATTGCCCACTGAAGCAGCCCCAACCTAGCAGGGGCACAGTGCGTGCAGCTTTTGAGGGTTGAGAAGCAGCTTGCCCACCAAAGTGGGGTGGGGAGGTTCAGATGGTGTGGAGGGATAAGGTGGTGCGGCATTGCAAAGGCATGAAGGAATGACAACACTGCTCCAGCAGGTGTACTGAGGGGCTGTTGGAATGACCAAGGAGCTTAGCATTCCCACAGTTATGGTACAACCAATACCATCCCTCATAAAATTTATATAGATTACAGGGCTATGCTAACAATCCCTCGCTTATCTTGTCTACCGCAAGTGTGCCAGTGTGCCAGTGTACCAGCGTGCCAGCGTACCAGTGTACCAGCGTGTTAGTACAGCAGCGCCAGGGAGAGTGAGATCATCAATGCTGCTGCTGCAGTGACTGCAGCGGATGCAGACGGCAGGGCGGTGAGAGCTGCAGCTCCCTTGGAACGGGTGCTCTCAGCAGCTGGAGGGGGGCATGCATGGGGTTGGGTGCGTCACCAGATTGGGGGGGATCAGCATGTAAGGCCAAGCATGAGAGTCAGTTGAATGCGCATGTAGTGTGGTGTATGGTGCATGGTGCATGGTGTATGGTGCATGGTGCATGGTGCATGGTGTATGGTGCATGGTGTATGGTGCATGGTGGATGTGCATGGTGCATGGTGTATGGTGCATGGTGTATTGGTGCCTGGTGCATGGTGTATGGTGCATGGTGTATGGTGCGTGCATGGTGCATGGTCTATGGTGCATGGTGCATGGTGTATGGTGCATGGTGTATGGTGCATGGTGCATGGTGCATGGTGCATGGTGCATGGTGCATGGTGCATGGTGTATGGTGTATGGTGTATGGTGCATGGTGCATGGTGCATGGTGCATGGTGCATGGTGCATGGTGCATGGTGCATGGTGCATGGTGCATGGTGCATGGTGCATGGTGTATGGTGCATGGTGCATGGTGTATGGTGCATGGTGTATGGTGTATGGTGTATGGTGTATGGTGTATGGCGCACACGGCGAGTTCAAGTGAAATGGCTAAGCAAGAGACATGAGTTTCCATGGAGATGTGTAAAAGGTGCCACGGGAGCAATGTTGCACTGTGGAAGCAACGAAGAGGGGAGAGAGGAGGGGGGGAAGGGTGGATGGTGGGGAGAGAGATGGGGAAGGGAAGGGGAGTGGCTACCGGATTGTACGAGGGCAGGCAGGTTGGAGTAGAAGCGCGAGCAGCAGTGCCAAGGAGAGTGAGGGAGGGGGAAGGGGTACCAGATTGCATGAGGGCGGGCAGGTTGGCGTAGAAGCGCGAGCACTGGTCGGCAGGGTGCTGGGAGGGCGTTTGGTCCAAGCAGTTGCTGCTGTGGCTGGTGGGGGCATGCAGGGGAGAGGGGTGGGGGAGTGAGGTGAGGGTAAGACAAGGGGCATGTGAGCAGCAGAATAGCACATGTGCCTGTGAGGGTACAGAGCTGTTCTTTACAAACTAAGAAGCCATAGGCTGCACTTTCCAGTCGAAAACCAACATCGCAACATCGTAGTGCAGTTTTCAGTGCAGAAGAAAGAATGCGATGCTGAGAGATCTCAGAAAGATTTCACAGCACCTGAAGCATTTCTCCTCAAAAAGTGCACCTGAAGGAGAAGTGCACCTGAAGGAGAAGTGCACCTGAAGGAGAAGTGCACCCGAAGGAGAAGTGCACCCGAAGGAGAAGTGCACCCGAAGGTGAAGGAGAAGTGCACGCGAAGGAGAAGTGCACCTGAAGGAGAAGTGCACGCGAAGGAGAAGTGCACCTGAAGGAGAAGTGCACGCGAAGGAGAAGTGCACGCGAAGGAGAAGTGCACGCGAAGGAGAAGTGCACGCGAAGGAGAAGTGCACGCGAAGGAGAAGTGCACGCGAAGGAGAAGTGCACGCGAAGGAGAAGTGCACGCGAAGGAGAAGTGCACGCGAAGGAGAAGTGCACGCGAAGGAGAAGTGCACGCGAAGGAGAAGTGCACGCGAAGGAGAAGTGCACGCGAAGGAGAAGTGCACGCGAAGGAGAAGTGCACGCGAAGGAGAAGTGCACGCGAAGGAGAAGTGCACGCGAAGGAGAAGTGCACGCGAAGGAGAAGTGCACGCGAAGGAGAAGTGCACGCGAAGGAGAAGTGCACGCGAAGGAGAAGTGCACGCGAAGGAGAAGTGCACGCGAAGGAGAAGTGCACGCGAAGGAGAAGTGCACCTGAAGGAGAAGTGCACCGGAAGGAGAAGTGCACCGGAAGGAGAAGTGCACGCGAAGGAGAAGTGCACCGGAAGGAGAAGTGCACCGGAAGGAGAAGTGCACGCGAAGGAGAAGTGCACCGGAAGGAGAAGTGCACCGGAAGGAGAAGTGCACCGGAAGGAGAAGTGCACCGGAAGGAGAAGTGCACCGGAAGGAGAAGTGCACCGGAAGGAGAAGTGCACGCGAAGGAGAAGTGCACGCGAAGGAGAAGTGCACCGGAAGGAGAAGTGCACCGGAAGGAGAAGTGCACCGGAAGGAGAAGTGCACCGGAAGGAGAAGTGCACCGGAAGGAGAAGTGCACCGGAAGGAGAAGTGCACGCGAAGGAGAAGTGCACCGGAAGGAGAAGTGCACCGGAAGGA